TCTGTTTCCCGAGCCGCGTAGGCCGATAGACGGTCCATGAGTCCAATCACGATCTTCTTCAGGTCAACGTGCGGGTTGAGACGAGAAATTGCCGAGAGTAAGAGATCGAGCGTATGGAGATGGAATTCATCGGGGAAGACCTTGGTGATCACTAGAGCAACTTAGCATGAGCTGACTGCCCCGGAGGCACACCGGGACCATAGATTCCCTACCTTCCAACAGGTACTCTTGCGCAAGAACATCGCGGCACTGGACAACCTGCTCCAGCAGCGCTTGCAGGATCCCCGACTTGTAGCGCTCGAGATCGACCAACTGGCTGAGCCGGACGACATTGCTGCCCACCAGCAGTTCCAGCTCGCGGCGCTCCTGCATCCTCTTTTCCCTTTCCCGGGAGGGACCTTGATGCTGCAACCGCACCCACAACTTGTTCATCTCCACGAAATTGGTCAGGACGAAGTTGATCGAGTCCTGCAGGTTGCCTTCGGGCCCGTCCCCGGAGCCCGTGGGTAAATGGTCCCTGGCCTGTCCGGACAGGTAGTATCGCAGGAACAGCCCGCGGATGGGATGCTGCACTCCTCGACTCATCTCCATCATGTCCTTCATGATCTCCTTGACCGGGGCATCCTCCACCGACATGTAGACCGTGCCGACCGTGATCATCAAGTAGAGCCGCGGGATGATGTTGCCTGCATACTGAACCAACTCGTATAGATCAGCTAGATGGTTGACGGGATGGTTCTCTTTCAGATAAACGGAGAGATGTCGCAGCGCATCGAAAACCGCCATGTACAATTCGTAGTATTGCTTGGGACCCAAGCTGGGTGTTCGTAGTTCGGAGACCAACGTCGACCTGGAAGCAATTGGCGATAGCCGTTAGCTTGATCTGTACTCTTCACTTCTGCAGAATTACGCAATGTCGCTCTAGGAACTTCGCTTCATATCTGGGGAGCCTCCATCGACTCACCCGCACTTGAGCGCATCCATCAGTTTCCCAGGAGTCTCCAAGCATTTTCGCATCATATGCGACTGCTGTCGGACCACTCCGAGGGCCTCCTCAAGGAGACGACTTTGGTCCTCCGGAGGGGATACTGGACTGGCCATGACGGAATTGACCGATTAACTCGAAAGGTGTATGACGGGGCTGTCTCCGTGGATGGATGCAGGCGGTAAACACCTGGCCGAGTAAGAGGATGAGGGGGTGCGGATGGAGGAGCTACAATGACGGTTGCGGGGATAAAGTATTTGTAGAGAGGTATAGATGTTTATAAAAAAGTTCCGATCTTTTAATCAGTCCATTTAAAGAGAAGAGACCATCGCAGAATGACTGGCCCTGTGGAGATGTCTGCGAATGGAGAAGATCAAGAGGCCATCGCGGGTCGCACGAGCTTCTTTCCGCCTCAGGCTGCCAACGTGGACTGACGGTGCTAGGCAGAGCTATTCTGAGTACGCTCCCGCATACCAGACAGCATCAATTGAATCATATTCAAAGGTTTGATCCCACTATTTTTTTTACCTCCACTAACCCAAGTCCAAAACTTAAGAATATAGATGCGAGATATTAATCGCTCGACCCCTGCAGGTACGGAGGTATTGCCCGGTGGCTCTTGTACAGCATAACGGATTGTGTTTGATTTTTCTCATATGTTGACCAAAATCACATTCTATCCTATTGACACCATCTATGTAACAAACCCGTTCTCCCAAATACCGAATGTGCAGGAAACCAAATGAATACAATGGACAATCTATGAACCGAAATCATCTCAGAAAGCAAATCATGAGCGTGCCGTATGTCCGTTTTAAATATACCATGGCACATCAAGTCGTCAAAGTCCGAAATTCGCACGTGGACACATCAAGTGGAAAGTCGTCAGTCTCAGTAATCGTCTCCGTCATTATGTTAGCCGCTGAGAAGATCCCACACTGTTCCGACAGTGACTCGTACAGGGTTCTCATTCGGGATTTCCTCGAGCAGATGAGCAGGTGAGCTGCGCATCGTCTAGTATACACGGCCTGTCTGGTTGAGAGCCCGCGCCAAGACACCGCTGCGAGCTGCGATTGTGCCGTTCAACAAAGTGCGAGCTGAGATAGGCACCCTCTCAGTTGCGTTGTCGCTGCGAACATTGAAATCATGAACGCCGGTGCTGTTGGTGCTCGAGAGCGAGCTCCGGAAGCTCTTAGGAGGCAGAGGAGACTTGCGAGTCAGGTTGGAACTCCGAGGGTAGACGGAATGGTCATCCCCAGGCGAAGGTGTCGGCCAAGCTGCCACGCTTTTTGATGATGGAATGCATGAGCTCGACGAAGGTGTCGCCCATGAAGAGGGTGTGATGACTTGTGCAGATGTCGATGTTGGCATATCGGTCACCGTGACGGTCACGAAAGCCTGAGGGATGCTGGGAGCGGTCACAGTCTGGGTCTGGGGCTCAATCACAGAGCTGGTGTCGATGCCGTCGGGATTGGCGCCGCCAACATTAACAATTGAGTAGGCCTCTTCTTGTCTGCGCACGACAGTGTTGCTTCCCAGTCGCGGGACGGCTAGGGGCACTGCTTGTGTACCGAGGACTGAGATGAAAAGGATTGCCGCGGGAGAGAAATGCATTTCGGGTCAGGGTAGATAAGTCCTTCAAAATAGAACAGAATAGGATAAAACACTATAGATCCGAGGCCGTTGCGTAGAAGGATACTTATGTGCAAGAGAGATTTGGTTGATGATAGTCAGAAGTCCGCTACACCTTTCAGTGACCAACAATATATATCCCAAAATGCCAAACTCGATCTACACGTTCAATCATAATGATAAAACAGAAAAGAATACCAGAAATCATGCAGGCTGGCAGCCATCATGGCCTGCATCGACTTCAATCCACTAATCCGAGATCCACACAAGGAGGCTGGGAAAAGGCAGCAGCGCATCGCACTGGCCCAGCCACGATGATTCTAAGCTGTCATGTCATTCTTTTCCACTTTTCAATCATCAGGAGCAATTAACTGCCGATCTTGAGCATGTTGATCCTGCCGACAGTTGCTTGGCATCACTATGATCGACTGAACAGTACACTGGACATCAACATTAACGTTGTGGTGCAGTTAATCATGCATCACTGCCAAGCATCAACGGACGGCTGTTGTGGCTGGCGGGATCCACTGCCCGTGGGTCTTCTAGCTCTCATGCTATTGATAGAAGATTCGTCATGATGGGCGATCAGTCAAATAAGTCATGGAGTATAGCTATGTAGCTGTGATATCTTTAGTATCATAGGCAGCAGTCAATTTGCTTCACCGTATTGCAAGAGGGTTGGAGCTGATTGTCGCCTCTCATGTTCTCACCGCATCCACTCGGCAGTCCGGCTGATGTTGGTGAAGTTGATATAGTTGAATAGTAAGTACGGTAGCATACGAGCCAGTTTAACACAGCCTCCTCCTCCAGGCCCGCCATTTGGAGTATTAATACTCACAGGTGACTGGAGTGTAGATCATCAGAGACAGGAGAACAATCCGTTGTAGTCTCTATACAGTGTGAGACCGGACCAAAACCCTGATCGTACAGGAATGACCTCTACCTAAGAATCACTTTGAAAGCACTGAAAAGAGCCAACTAGTATTCACTATCTGATACTGTATCCACTTTGGTTCTTATTGCATCATGACTGCAGCAAACAAGGCATCACATAACTCCAGTACTATTGATAAGCTACATACTCTCCGTAACCTCATAACTTGTGATCTTCTTTGATCATCATGAGAAGAGATATGATGACGTATCCTGCACAACGAATGCAAATGTGGGTTATAGGAGACAAGGAGATTAGCAGGCAACCTTGCACAGTACACGAGGCTTGCATGTTAGCAGACAAGCCCAAGAAAGAAATGTGTATACTCTGGCTCAAGAAGGAGTTCAGTGCACGGCTCCCCATCGTAGAGAAGAGAGAGATCCAGTGTGAAGGAGGACTCAGACTGCCACATGTTGCCACAAGCCGGCGTTCAGGTAACGAGTAACATCTGTGGGACCGTCCGGCCGCAGCTGGTCTGCCTCTGGCCGACGTTTGATATCTTCCCACTCCCGAATCTTGCGGTCTATGGACTCGCTCATTCCGGACGCGTTCAGGATTTCAGCTATCCGAAAATGACAGTCGAGCAAGAGCCGGATCTGGGAGAGGGATACGCTCGGCTCCCGCGGCTTTTTTGAACGTCACGATGCCGTCCTCAGGAAGTTCCCTCCTATGCAAGGGAGGGAAATATCGGTAAGTCTTCAGCTCGTATCTGTGGAGCACATCCTATACAGAGGGATTTGGTCAGCAAATGCAAATTGTAATAGCCAACCTTCGAAGGCCATCAGGAATTTTCTAAATTGGAGTGAAAAGCTCCGCAAGCAACATCATCCTGTTGGGAGGATATTGATGTTCGCCATACTCTTGCTAGCTCTTCGTACACCAGGGAAGTATCGATAAAGGATCGTCCATATATCAACCACATTCTGGGGTGGTATCTAATTCACGTCAGAATGATAGTTGAAGTATGGATATGGAGAGTGCTCTATCCGTGCATAGGCGTAAGGAATGATGTGTGCCCCCTCTAGATCTGAGGCCATGACATTTCCAGGAAAGTTGCACTTTTTCCAGTCGTCGATGTCCATTACATGAGTAACGACACAATGGTGCCCATCTCATAGACAGTCACTTCTGAACTACTACTCTCTGGACTGGACCTCGTCCATATGAGCTGCAATAAAGCTGGTAGAAATGATAGCAGACCTTCAACGATATGTGCCTGTATGAAGAGGAGAGTGTAGGGGAGTGTGTATGAAGAGGAGTACCACTATTCAGTAGCATCTCAATAACAAAGAGCACATTCACCGCTCATCTTCCCTGCCAGCAGCCGGCAGGGGACTCCGTGAATATCCCAGCAGGGGAATTATCTTATGGCGGAGCGAAACAATAGCAATGGAATATGATGTCTTTTTAACCTCGTACTTTAACTAGAAGTAGGGCCTGCACATCAGTCTAGATCGCCAAATCTTCAACCCGAATCAATCCACATCCCAACCCAGCACTGGCCCATCCCGCACACAGCTGGTTGGGATTCCATGTCAATGCAGTAACGTGTCTCGGTTCGTCAAAGATGGTAATCATCATCGTGCCATTGACCATCCGACGATCACCCACCATGTTGCGCAAGAGACTGAAGCTCTCAGCGCGGTAGCCGTCAATGAATCGACTCGTCCCTGCACTGTCTGCATCTTGCCTGCGCGCCCATTCATGGGTGAACCAGGTCTGCTGCCACTGTTTCTCTTTCGGGTGCACTAATCGGCGGATGGGGCTTGTTGCGATGACTTCGCCGCCTGCGCAGCCCAGGAGGACGCTTGGGTGCCAGAAGCTGCACGGCGCAAGAGCGGAGACCGTACTTGGTAGCCTTGCCATGGCCGTTGTGGTGAAGAAGCGCCGCACGGCGAGGAGCCGTGCAAAATCGTTCTCGTCACTTGAGATGAATGCATGGAGCAAGGGAGAGTAGGCAGCATGCGGCGACGCCATTCGCATACGGGTCGTTTCCACGGTGTCCTTCTGGTAATCGACGATTGAGGTCAAGCGGGTTTCCCCGTCCATAGATGTTGTACACAGCAGGTGAGGATGAGTTGGGTAGGCCGCCGCCAGATTCAGGATATAAGTGCGGTGGATTGGTTCGTAGAAGTAAGGTAGAAAGGCTGTAGAGGTTTCTTCTGAGGCTGTAATGCTCCAGATAGCGACAAAGCCGTTGGCACAGCCAACAGCAATGTCAGTGGGAGAAAGCCAAGCCACGCATGTACATACTGTCGACGGGGGCTTGGCCTCGAAAACTGGACTGTGGACCTTGTCTACAAATCGTCAGCTGAAGGCCCATCAATTATCCTCCATTGGTCTACTTACTGAACTCTGTGGCATTTGGGTTGCGGCTCAGCTTGACGTCAATAACTCGAATATAGCCGTCTCCCCAGACTCCAGCCAGGAGTCCCAGGTTCCTCAAAGGGTCTTCGTCATCCTCGTCCCGCGCAGCCCGGGGCATAGGACACCAAGCCATTCGTCGCAAGTCGCCCCAGTCGGTACACAGAGCCAACCGCAGCCTCGGTTTAATGCTCATATCAAGGGTCTTCGTAAAGCTGTCTTCTCGTTTGGCTTTGAACGCCCACAGTTGCAATGCACAGGGGTAAGGAGCAGAAGAACTGAACGCGAGACTGGCTTGATTCTTCAAGGGGTCTGGGTAACTTTCCTTCTGCTCTTTGGTGATGGGCACCACGACGCCAAGGTACTGCGTGAGACCGGACTGATTGGGTACCCAAGCCATGCATTGAATCTTCTGTCCCAGATTAAGGAGCCACCCTTCGCGTAGCGGTTTCTTTGATCCGGTTGAATTCTTTGCTGTCCCACTCTTCTTCGCCCCAGGTTTCCAGGCTTCGCCGAAATTGGCGGACTCATTCTGCCCTAGCCGGAACTTTTTCTGAGCGTCCACAGGCCCTATTAATACCGTCTGCTTCTTCTCCTGCTGTGCCATATACCGTGAGCGAGCCTCCTCCTCGTCTATTTTCTCAATCCGCTGTCTCTTGCGGAACCGCCCCCCAACATCATCGGCGTAGTACCAGTCCCAACCACGAGCACTCTCCTTCCTGACCTCCTCCGGCTCAACGCCAAATGTCGCACCATACGTGTAGTCAGGAAATTTCTCTGCTTCATTTAATGAAGAACGCGTAGGAAACGTCGAATCAACGCCCTTGGCCCATCGGTCCCGTGTATACGCCATGGAGAGTAGATCCCTCTCGTCAGATCCAAAGGTCACCTTCATGTGGGTCAGCTTTCCCACATGCTCGCCGGGGTTCCACGTCCCTCGGAAGTGAGTCTCATCCTCAGCAATAGCGACAGAGCCGTCCTCATGTCGTCGCTTGGGATTCTTGACTCGCGAAGTCCCGGCCTTTTTGGGCTTCTTTGAATCGGTTTCGTCCTCCTCGTCGGAGACGAATTCATCATCATCGTCGGGGATGTCCACCATCTCTACGTCTTCATCTTCGCCTTCTTCGACTTCATCCTGTTCATTCTGAACTTCTTTGTACTCCTCGTCTGAGGAATCATCTGCTCGGACAGGCTGCTTTGCTTCTCGGGGAGAAGGGGTGGTTCCTTCTCTCGAGTCCGGTTCGTCACTGACTCCCGCAATCTCAAAGGGATCGCTTGTGTATCTGGTCCTCGCCCCGGATAGGCGGTTGGACCTGCGTGTACGAGGCATCTGGCGATATCCCTTACCGTCCTAGCTTCTTGACGATGATGCTGAAAGTGACGATCTCAATGACTGTGTGCATAGATCATCATTTGTAAAGATCACATCCTCTGAAGTGTGGACTGATCATACTCATCAAAGTCAGACCAGTCAATTGATGGCATATAGGTGAGGATGCACCAATTGTTTGATCGGCAGGAACAGAGCTATTCGTGATACAAGATGACGAGAAGATCTGCGTATCGACAGCGCGCGAGGAGAGGAGGGTCTTGGCGTAATTTTACATCCTCAAAACAGCCGGTGACCTCATCGATACCCCACATCCTCGATAACAGCATCAACAAAACAAATAATCATTTTTCAAGAGGACTGTGTTCGCTAGTTTAATAGAAGACTGAGTCAGTCAGATCGATCATTGTACTGAGGTGCGATATGGGGACTGACTTCAAATGTAGGCCTCGCTTAAGTGGAGCTGCGCCCTGATATCATCGGTTCTGCGATAGATCCGCCTGTCCTACCACGAACAAACTATTATCTAGGCAGTAATTGATGACCAGTTTTCTCAAAGGACTTCAAGATCTGCCGTGGTTATCCTCTCAAAGATAAAATTGATAATTTCTCCTTTCTATATCCGAAACAAAGGCTTAAAGCATGTCGAAATCACACCCAGGAACGCTGCATGAATATGTAATTGCACAAGCATCATGCAAACACATCAACAGATCACACACAAGCTGACTGAAGAAAAGGCCCCGAAGCTAGTCGCCTTCGAATTCACCAGCTCTACACCCCGAAAAATACACAGCCTTATCTTCATCGGCGGTCTGACAGACGGCCTTTGCACCGTTCCCTATGTAGCACCCCTCGCCGCCGCCCTCGAACCAACCGACTGGTCCGTCTTTCAGGCGCAGCTCTCCTCGTCCTTCGGCGGCTGGGGCATCGGCAGTCTTGATAAGGATGTCGAGGAGATTGCGAAATGCATCGACTTCGTCCGCAGGCTCAAGGCCTCGTCCGCCGCGGCATCGGCGCCAGGGAAGATCGTCATCATGGGTCACTCGACCGGAAGCCAGGACGTGTTGCACTACCTCTATACTCAGGGAGACCGTCCTGTAGTCGACGGTGCGATTCTACAAGCGCCAGTGTCCGATCGTGAAGCAATGCTCGCGGAGACACGCAAGCCAGGCGATGTGGGTGCCGAGGCAAAGGGCTCGTGGGAGCAGCTGGTTTCGCTGGCGCGGCAGGCTCCCGTAGGTGATATCATTCTACCCTTGAATCTGAGCAGCAAGGTTGGCTTGCCGCCTGACCCTGTCAGTGCGCGGCGGTTCCTGAGTCTGGCGAGTCCGGATAGTCCTGGCAAGCCGGCGGAGGATGATCTGTTTAGCTCGGATTTGACGGATCAGCGGCTGCGCGAGACGTTTGGGGCTGTGGCGACGCGGGGTTTATTGCGGTCCAAGTTACTGGTGCTGTACTCGGGGAACGATGAGTTTGCGGCGCCGTGGGTGGATAAGGAGGCGCTGATGGCGCGGTGGAGGGAGGCGACTGAGGCTGGGAATGCTGGAACGTGGGATCAGAATAGCGGGGTCATACCGGGGGCAAGTCACAATGTCAAGGATCAGGGGCAGGCTGATCTTGCTGAGCGCGTTACTCGCTATCTGAAGGGTATCTAGTTTTGCACCATGTGAGATGGTAGTGGAATGAAATCTTGTCGTAGTTTTCGTGTTTATTGTACACACAGGCCGAAACAGAGCAGCAAGTAGATATCCAAAAAAAAAAAACATGGCAGCGGCAGTGGCAGTATTAGAAGCATAAGAGACAAAAATAAGGGTAGGGCGTAGTATGTCGCGGTCCAAGCTGACCATGAAGAGAACCCTCAAGAAGCAAACCAGAGACAGGTCAAACTTTCAGCCACAGATTCAACACACCCTTAAGATACTCGACAATCTCATGGCCGCCCAACTTGCTCTCCCCATACAGCCGGTCGACAAAGGTAATCGGACACTCCGCAACCTTGAACCCCATCGCCTTGGCCCGCACCATCATCTCCATCTGGAAGCTATACCCCTTGCTCTGCGTACTGTGGATGACCTTCTCCAGCACACTCTTCTTGTACAGCCGGAAGCTCCCCGTCAGATCACTCACCCCAGGCATAAGCATGACATCCGCAATCAGGTTCGCCGTCCTCGACGTGAACTTCCGGAACAGATCCCACCCATACACCCCGCCCTTGATGCCCTCGCGGCTCGCATACCGCGTGCCCGTGACGATGTCCGCGTCCGTCACCTTCTGGATGCGAATCATCTCGGGAATGAACTTGGGGTGGTGGCTGAAGTCCGCGTCCATGATGATGACATAGTTGCCGCGCACGTACTGCAGCCCGTGCACGTATGCGGTTCCCAGACCCAGCTTGCCGGCCCGCGGCTTGAGGTTGATGTGTTCGGGGCCCCAGAGGGCTTGCAGCTGTTTGGCGATCTCGAGGGTGCCGTCCGGGGAGCCATCATCGACGATCACGATTTCCCAGTCTAGGTTGCTGTAGGGCAGACAAAGTTAGCCTCTGGCATCGTGCGATTGATTGACTAGGCAGTAAAATGTTTCTCACTTCTCGCGGAATGTCCGCTCCAGTAGCCAGCAGATGATAGGGAGGTTCTTGCGCTCATTGTACGTCGGGAGAATGACCGAGTACTTGTTCTTTGTGTCGGTCATTTTACTGAAGTGATAGAACAAACAATAGAATAGAAAGATGATAGTCCGAAAGATGTATCAACACCGGAATTGAGCACAAAATGCAATGAGTGAAATGGTGCTGGCGAGTCCCCTGAGAGGCTCTAAGTTAGCCCCGAACTGGTGCGGGAGCTCCGCGTTCGTCGTTATCAAATCATACAAGTGGCCTCAGCTCGACTCAACTCAACTACCGCAATACGCCAGACTCGAATCAATATAGACAGCGATAGCCCGTCAGGAATTACAAACATGCCATAGTCAATGGATACGCGAGTCTCGTCATTGTCAAGATGCAATTTCACGCAAAATCAAACTTATCGAAACTTATGGTACAGGCGTCATCCAGCGCACACAGTGTCCCTGCGACCTTACCATGACCTTTGACATGGGCAGTCCAAAGCATCAGCTCGTATGAAGACCACAGACTAAACCACTGATAAGGTAGTCATCAAAACTACTCAACCGCATCAACATCAGCATCCACCCCCAAGCTCCAACCAACCATCCCGGAAACAAGCAGCAACCAAATCACCCCGCCCCCTCTATTTGCCAGTTTTCCAAGACACCTTCTCCACCTTCCCATTATCCTCCAGCTTGTTATATGCCCGGTCATGCCGATTCTCGATCTCGTCATTATGCCGCCTCACATCCTCGGGCACATCCGGACGCGGGTTCCCCTCCTCGTCGACGTTGGGCGACTGCCCGTTGCTGATGGTCGGCCGGGCGTTGTTCGACGGTCTGTTCGTGGCGTGCGGGTACACCTCTGCGCCGTCGTTGTTGCGGCGGGTTTCCTCGTCTGAGGGGGGTTGGTTCTGGTAGCTGGGTCCACCGCCGGATGACGAGGATGAAGGTGAAGGTGAGGATGAGCCCTTGCCCTTGCTAACGTCCGGGGGAGGGGGTCCTGCGTTGCGGTCAGAATCGAGCTAAACCATCATACTAAGGCGAAGATCGAGTAGAGATAGCATCCAGCTGCAAAGGCGGGAGACTCACCTGGATGCTCCATATCGCGCGTAGGCTTGCTCGTTTTAGCTTCTGCTTTGCCTTCTGGTTTCTGTTCGCCTCCGCCGTAGGAGCTCTGAGAGTAGAACCGCCACGGCTGAGGGAAGAGGCTCCTCTGGCGGCAGATTGGGAGAGTCGAGGGTTTGAGTGCCTTCGATGTGAGGCTACTGCGGAGGATTGGATTCATTGTCGTGGTATATTGGTGTATTATACAGATAATGGGTGTAAGCTGGTCTGAACACACACTGTTAAGGTACTCGGAAAAGTATTTATACTATCAAGAAACTGGTCGCCGGATCAACAACAACCAGTCGTTCCATTGCTAAATCTGCCAAATACCGATTCATATGAGGCTTGGTGGCGTGCCGTGTCCTGTTTAAACTGGGGACAATGACGTTGGAACATAGTCATCTCCGCTGCGGATCACCGGTTCACCTGAATTCGGGCAAACCCATGATTTCAACTCATTGAAGCGTACAAAAGATCTAAAATTACGAATTACGAATCTCAGGCTTACTCAATCGTCAAGTTTGACCGTGGAAAGACAATTCGTGATGATATTGCCATCATACTATCGCTGTAACCCAGATATCTTGACCAGTAGCTGTAACAAAAACAATGGAGATCAAAAATAGACAGCAGAGACTAACCCAAAGCATGAATGACAGGATGGTGCCTTTTATGCACTGTAACCTCCGTATGAACGCCGTGGAATGATATCCCCAGACAGAAAATGCTAGAAGACGAAGGGATATTCGAGCTCAAAAGTCGAGTCAGAACACTTTGGCAGAGGACATGACATAAACCGAGAACGCGGTCGGATGAAAACAAAGAAATCTCGTAGGAATAAAGATGTACGCCAATGTCAGAGAATAAATTGGGATCAATCGCCCCTGGCGGATTAAGTCGTGAAGATCATGCATGACACAGCTGCTTGCAGCTTTGAGAACGCCAACGCCTCGACCGAAAGACACATTTCATGATACGAGATTTGCATATCAACAAGTCGACCTAATCGGTCAACGATGCGCAGTAGCACACGCTTTCATATTGTGCCTTGGCTGTGTAAGTTTGAGTCGCACTGCCATAGCCTTTGAGGGTCGTCGTCGGTGTCGGTTGTACTTCTTTGATCTCAATTGTCTCGGGAGAAGCCGTTGCTATCGATCCGTCGTCCAACACCTGCATCTGCTGGCAGTAGGGCGCTCGGGAGCCAGGGTGGTTTCGCTTCTCCTCGATTTTGATCCGGCGGGGATAGTCAAATAAGGAATCAAGAGGTGTCAGGCCTCTCTTCCCATTCTGAGGCGGCGGCGTTTCGGTTGCTGCGGATGAAGCTGTCGAGCTCTGCCGAGCATGCTTGGATGTCTGATTCGTGTACAAAAAGAATTCCATCATGGTGCCATTCCACCAACAAAACCATGGTCGATCGCCTGCTTGCACTGCCTGTTTGCGATGGAAAGATTCAGCCATCACGTCCCGCTCCGAGACGGAGCGCTTCGATGCATCATTCGAAGAGAATGTTCCCTGGGGCACAATCACCAGCTTGTCAAACAAGGTGAAGAAAGTAAGGGCAGGGCCTAGGGCCATGTCGCCCGAATCATAGGCCGGGGTCAGTTGCTGGGTCTGGGGCAGAATCGGTGCCTGGGCACCATAGGAAAATGAAGAGCTCAGGGGGCGCTGTTCGAAAGTGATATTGTGCCGATGACCATCCTCTCCCTGAAGTAGGATCGGGATTTTGCTGCGGCCCATGCAGCCCCATGATGCCGTGTAACCCGACTCAGCAATGCAAAATTTCGACTGGTTCTTGGGACTGGCCGGAATGAGGAACTCGCCTGTCGGCACAGGCGACACATTCGCCGGCATTGATGAGATGGGCGTCGCATCCGCCCTGGGCGTAGCTGTCACTGTGACAATGTCAGGGCCTTTGGGCTTCGAGCGCTCCTCGCTCGCCGCCTTTTTCGCCCCAAGAACGCCCCCAATGACACCTGCAATGCACGCTACCACGAAGATAACGATGCTGATAAGAACCAGCGTCCAGATTGGCAACCCGCAGCACACCCTCTTCTTGCCTTTGCTTTTCAACTTTTCCTCAAACGCCATAACGCCCGTAGCGGGCGGCTCCTCATGTTCTTCAGGCGGGTTCCCATTCCCATTCACCGAGTTTCCCGCATTCCCCGCCACTACTAAAGTCCTAGAGGAAGTCTCTGAGACGGGGGGCTCCCGCGATGTACTATGCGCTATTTCTTCTGTGATGATGCCAGCACCAACTTCAGAATCCATCGTCTCTTCCTCCTTCGGTAGGACCCCGTCAGGGTACCGTGAATAAGGAGGAAGTTGCTCAGTATGGCCATCAGGCCCTATGAGATCTCCAACGTCGTCATCAGCACGGCCAGGGGGTCGCTGATAGGCTTGCTCGTGTCCGGGAAACCCGAGCGGGATCACTGGATTATGAATGGGAGTATCCAATCCTTCCTCCGGCACAACAGCCTGCGAATACATGGCATATGGGTGTTGCGGGGCGTTTGAATCGCCCAACGGTCGCTCCATCGGTCGTACAGTTGATGTAGTAGCAATGCTGGGCGATCGGCTGACACCGACTTGCGAATACATCGCATACGGGTGACTGGGACCAGTCGCTCCGGTGTAAGGACTCATTGCGCGAGTTGGTAAGGAGAATCGCGAGGATGTACTTTGACTGCGCTGAGCCACGGAGGCATCTGTGTTGTTGGAAGCAGTCGAGTCGCGGGTAGAAAAGTCCAATTCCCCTTTCTGGGGTAAACTTGATCGATGGGGGGTGTCATCGAAGGAGACCCTAGCATCGTCGCCAAACGGATTCTCGGTCACATCTGGAGGATCAATGGGCACGGTGTTGTATGTTTTCTGAGGGGGAAGAGCGGCCGAGCGAAGCGTGTGAGATGAAATGGAGGACGAAATTGAGAGGCTGCGCGGGGTGAGGGTAGACTGTTCAGAGTCAATCGGTTCCAGTGAGTATTCATCTGAAAAGACATTGACGTTCGAGGAGCGACCGGAGGGAGAACGATGATGCATTGAGTCGGAATCCGGCCCTTGAGAGTGTCGTTGAGGGAGAGACTGCGAGGATTGCGAAAAGGAACGCGAGTGATCTGAAGAGAGACGCCCAGACATGGCGTTACACAGCCCTGCCGGGCCTCCTCTGATGTCCAGTCAGTCTGCCAACGAGGGGGGTGGAAACAGTCACCTGAACGAGACTGTTCCGGGTTGACTGGAATCTAGGCAGATGAATCACGGAGAGGAACGGGATCAGAGCGGGCTGAAGCAAAACGTTGGGACGTCGAGAAGGAGGAATGTATTATTTATTCAAATAAAAGAAAGATTATGGCAATTAAGATAAGGAATGAGGGATGGTGGTTTTGATGTTGATGTTGATGTTGATGGTGATGTTAACGGTGGGTGGCAGTGGTGTTGAAGGGTTTCACTGGGAGGAGAAAGAGGGAGAGCGAGAGAGAGACGGGAGACTTGGCAATTGGTAGAGTACTGGGATTAGGTTACTTTAGCGCACCAGAAACAAACTAAACTAAGGGAGTTGGCTGCAAAAGAGGAACTCCGGCTCAACTAATTAGTAACTTGGGAAGCGTGCTTGCGGTCGCAGAACAATGAGAATAATCAAATGTGTGCTCTTTTTCTGGCTTAGAGAGAATTTCGCCTCCATGAGAGAGTTATCTTGCAGAGAATGGTATGTACCTCTCGAGGTAATCTTTGATGAAACTACTCCCTGCTCCGTAGTTGGTTAGATATTATTAGGTTGTTGATGATGACATTCATCCCCATCTATTTGTTATTTCTTACATGAATACAAATAATCGAAACCTGCTATGAGTTAAGATACCTTGATACCTAGATACTGCGTGGTAATTTGCGGAGACTCGCCACTTCTGACAAGTGTCTCTAGGAGAGTCAACCCAGCGTCCCAGCCCTCCTATGGCAGTCACTAACGTCTTCGGCTTTGGATGCTAAGAGCCTAGGTAAGGTACCTACACAAAATTGTCAATCAAATGATCAATACAACAGCCGGCGTGGTTTTACTAAGGTACTTTCAGAAGTACTGGGATGAGTACCATATGATGAGTACCATAGGTGTTCTCCGTTCTCCTTAATTATGACGAAGCCAAGCCGTAATTAGGTTACAAGCCTGACCTTCCAAATCTGAAACAAGTTAAAATACGCCATAAAAAACAGCACCCTATGAGGATTGAGCATCACCATTCCGGATGTCCATTTCCTGCAATGACGATGTGATGAACGAGATACATACTATTTATGGCATCTTCCTCTGACCGGTGCTTCTTCACTTTAGAGACATCTACGGGCATAGACAAGTACTCATGAAAGCTTTCAATGATGGTTGAAAAGTTACATACAGTGTACAGACACATCGAGAGATAGGGTACCTAAGGTATTTACGCAAAAGATTGTTAGTTCCAACCCCAGCCCCCACTACTCCTTCCAAAACCCAATTTAATTACCGTAGAAGGCAATAGAACAGAGCTAGATATCCAAGGTAGACTAGAATTGCAGGAATTGGACCGATGGACGATTCTCTGGGCCTCCGGTGGAACCAATCTACAGACTACCTGGGACGCCAAACTCTATCTACCTAAATCTCAGTGGACACCGAGGAAGTTCTGTGAAATGCGATTGTCCGTTTGATGCGTCATTAGTATTTATCGAGATTGTCCACTAAGATATGGTAGTCGAACAGCTGCATAGCTGACTGAACAGCCTAACGGTTGTCATCGAATATCTCTCAGGAGTCAGTGTGAAGGCGTAGCTTCGGTACAGGCGGAAAAGGCAGAGAGTCGTGAAAAATCAATTCGCACGGAGAACCACGATACTCTCCTACCAGACAAGCATTTACGATCTTCATAGGGCAAAGCACCCGACGGTGAGTTGGTCGTCTCAGGTACCAGGCTGCACCATCAGATGGACAGAGGCCTCATTGGATCAGGAAATCAAACTCTGAAGTTGGTTCGGAGGGTTTAGTACAGGAAAATACATCTCTGTCCAATGGCATTGGATGCTGCCTTTTACTCCCCTGGACGAGAAGAGTTGAGCCGTTGATCCACCTCGTCGATATTTTTCCGTCTTCCTCAAATATGAGTACCTTTCGACAAGCCTAGAACTCGAGGCCTTACAAAGTCTGGTTCGCCCATTAAGTAATATCTAGCTGAACCGCGATACTTGTGCGCTTTTCCGGCAGACGCTATCACTGTCAGGCACGGAGGTGCAGGGTTGTCATTGGCTCAAACAACTAAAACAGACCCAGCGATATCTGCTCATTGGCGTGGGCTATTTCTATAGATACCGTGTGCCTATTTGATGTTGCATTGGTTGAGCGTGAGGGAATGCGAGGATGTAGGATTCGACGAGCGCACAGTGGTTCTCCTCCCCATTTCGGACGGAGGCTGTTGTTTCAGCGATATGAGGAAAGAGTTACTCCGGCCTCTGCGGTGCGCCTGGCTTTGGCGGCAACGGCTGTCCATGTTCAAGCACTTGCTTGTCTGGAAGGTAGACTTTCATCGGATTGGGGACAGCTGGCGCTCTGCGTTCCCTGACCAGGATGAAGCGTAGCGGGAGCTTGCGCTTTGCCTGGCGTGCCAAGAATACCAAAGCTGAGAAGGCAACTCCTGCTGCCGCTGTGAAAGCGGGGCGTGAGTGAGAAGCTGAGCACAGAAGAAGCGGGAGGCAAGTGCAGCACGCGCTGCAGAAGCAGAGCGGAGAGGCATGCTCTCCTTGGCGATGGTGCAGCTAGCTCCAGGCAGGCTGTTCAAGGATTTCTTCGGAGCGCCAAGATATCCGACAATTTCACTTGCCCTTTTTCACCCCAGCCTCCGGGCCCACTCTGAACGTCCGGTCTCACGCGAAGATACCAGGCCCAAGCACGTCTATCCAGCTCCTCTTTGCTTAGAGTGCTGGCCCAGGACTGGCAGACCAGGTCGATAGCTTGCAGCAAGTAGCCCAAGCAAGTCTCTTTCTCGGCTTCCAATTGCTTGACCGACTTGCGTTTCGTCTTGCTGGAGCCATTGTCAGTCTCTGTAGTCTCTGTAGCCGCCTCAGTAAAGGATCTGTAGAGATATGATTTTGCAGAACTCGGCGTGAAGATTGGAAGACTTGTGCTGCCTTTCGTAGCAGGGCTCGGGCCACTGCCCTGAGCACTTCTTAGGGCTTCAAGATCCACGCCCCAAAGAGGGGGCGATGTGTCTGAACCATCTGAATCCCCCTTGCCCAAGATGTCGGCAGAAGCGGCGGCAGCATTTCCAGCATCTTGCTCTGAGCTTGGTTCTTCTGTTGGTTTGCCTTCTTGGGGATTATAATCCCACCGTTTTAGAACCTTGATCTCTCGCCCCAGGACTTTGATCACAGGATGGCCTTCACCCCAACCTTCTTGCTCAGCGGTTTTGCCGCTTTCAATTCCTAGGCTGATGGCCTTCGAGCGGCTGTTGGCACTGACGACAGCTTGCGCAAGGCTGAGTCTGCTGGAGATTGGCTGCTCTGGCATTGTGTATTTCAAGACACAGACTGCAAATGCGAGCACAAGAGGTGCCCTGTTAGTCAACAGAATTATTCGCGACAGCTCATCTTCCGATGCTGATGAGATAGGCAAAGAAAGGGCTGATTCAGTCTCGTATGGCGTTTCATCAATGCGAGCTGCTCCCCTGGCCTTTTTCTGTGGCGAGTCCGAATTGCCAGTTGGCGCTTGACGCTTCTTGGAGGCTCTCTTGGCAGCGTTCAGCACCTGTTTAGCAACTTTGTCATCTTTGAAAATCTCCTGAAGAGACTTGAGTTCTGCTTTTGAAAGTTGCTCCACGCTGCTCGATGTTAGATAGCTGCATCTGATGGAGAGACTTAGGATGGTTCCCATACGATATTAGGTTGGCTTTCTGGAGATCCATGACTTTGCCCATGGCTGACGCCAGTGGTAACTTGGCATCATGTGATAAAAATCGCAACAGAGTCTGTATTTCAGCTGAGGCCATGGCTGATGCTGTTCATGAGAGTAATTGTCGTTGAGATCGTATCGCACTGTATCAAATCCAAGCTGCCTCTGTTCTGCCTCAGGCTGCAACGATCTCCGCCTCCGCCCCGATAGCCTCTCAATGATTGCAACTCGCGAGCCACTACGATACGCTCCATCTGCTTACCGCGAAGCTCACAACGAGTGATTTGCTGCATACGCAGCTCTTTCGCGATGCCTGACGACGCGAAGTCCAAGGCTTTCCCAGATATCTCAGCCAAACTCTCCGCCCTCCCCAAGAAGTCTCTCTTCGAACGTCAAAAGGCCGAAGCCGAAGCCAAGCGGGCCCGAGAGCAAGCAGAGACAGCTGCTGTTTACGAGGATTTTGTCAAGTCGTTCGAGGATGATTCCCAGCCTTCCGATCGGATCACAACAGGAGGCAGACCGAACAACACCTTTGGAGGAAGAAGCGCCGCGTTTGGAGGGGGACCTGCGAAACGCCATTTTACCAGTTCAGGTCCTAGAAGCAGCGGCCCGGGGACTCTAGGACCTCCCCCGTCGTCGCTGTCTCGCAAACGTACTCTTGAAGGATTTCAACCGTTTCAGAGGAATAGAGAGTCAGTGCAGGGTATCCTAGGATTTGACAACACCGGTCCAGTATCGTCCCCTGCTGCGTCGGCTTTTCGCACTTCGGACGAGGAGGAAGACAGGGCAGCCGATACGAAGGAGGCCGAGAGAGCAGCGGCAAAACCTACGCTTTATCTGGCTTCACTACCTCCCGGAACTTCTCCTTCTGCAATCAAATCGCTCATTCCGTCGGTGTTATCTGTCGACAACGTGAAAATCCTCCGTCCCTCCAACCAGTCTCCGACCGATCGCAAGTCGATTTCCGCCATTGTCACTCTTGCAAATGAATCCGCTGCCTCGGATATAGACTCTACCGTCAGTGTACTACAAAACAAATACCTAGGATGGGGATACTATCTTTCGATTGCGAGGCATCTCTCCTCTGCCGCGATCAGTTCCTCGATGCCGGTCACCGTGGGTCCGTCGTCAACAAGCTCTCTCCCATTCGGTGCGAAGACTATTACCCCCGAGTATGGGGGCCGCTTGAACCGTGCGCCGCCTCCTGGGTCTCACCGTGATGGCTTCGCGCCCCCGTCCTCGTATGGAGCAGCGTATGGTCGCAGTGGACCCGTCACGCAGGTGGAAGTGAAGACACCTTCAGATCTGAAGCAGCTCAGGCTAATACACAAGACTTTGGAGAATTTATTGAATTATGGCCCAGAATTTGAGGCTCTACTCATGAGTCGGCCGGAGGTTCAAAGGGATGAGAAGTGGGCGTGGCTGTGGGATCCAAGAAGTGTCGGAGGAGTGTACTATCGCTGGAAACTATGGGATATCCTCACTAACAGCAGTCCTAAAGGGGCTCGGCGCGGTAGGAGTCAAAATGCATCGTTATTATTTGAGGGTGGCCCAAGTTGGGTATCGCCGGACACGGGCATCAAGTTTGAATATACCACGCGCATGGATGAGTTTGTTTCCGATGAGGATTACAATTCGTCTGACGAAGAGATGTCAGACGGGGAGGATGAGAGACGACACCTAGGGGGCGCTCCGCCAGCCGACGCAGTCGGTACTGGTAACGAAGGACTCGGTTACATGAACCCGCTACAGAAAGCCAAACTCACACACCTCCTTGCTCGGCTCCCAACCACGCATGCGAAGTTAAGAAAAGGTGATGTTGCGCGTGTTACAGCTTTTGCCATTGGACATGCAGGTGCAGGCGCGGAGGAAGTGGTGGAAATGATCGTGTCAAACATCATGAACCCTTTTGCATACACTGGGGCCAATCCTGACCGGGAGATTGAAAGGGGTCTCGCTCGGCAAGAAGCCTCCAAGAATGAATCCACTGACACTTCGGGTGAAGGGGGGGGCCCATCATCGTCTAAAAGCAACATGGATACATCTTCCGCGAAGCTGGTTGGTCTTTACCTTGTCTCTGACATCCTTTCGTCATCTGCCACAAGCGGTGTGCGCCATGCCTGGCGCTATCGACAGCTCTTTGAATCAGCATTAAAGTCCCACCGGGTATTTGAGCACCTAGGTAGACTCGAAAAAGACCTGAACTGGGGACGGTTACGAGCCGAGAAATGGAAGAGAAGCGTAGGTTCACTGCTGCACCTCTGGGAAGGGTGGTGCGTGTTTCCACAGTCGAGCCAGGAACACTTCTCTCAGGTATTTGAGAGGCCGCCGCTTACAGAAGAGGAACTTCGGGAAGAAAAGGCGAAAGCGGAGGCGGATCGGGCTGCTGGGGCGGCTTTCAAGGGCAAGAATCGCTGGAAGACTCTGGAGGAGGACGAAACAGCCGGGAAATTCGACCCTTCGCGTCCTCCTGCTCAACCAGATCATAACAGAATGGACATCGACCAAGGTCATGCCGCTTCCGCAGGAGACGACCTGGTTGGAGAGCCTATGAGTGATATAGACGGAGAGCCTATGGAAGACAGCGACCTAGAAGAAGCACCAGATGGAGAGCCGCTGGAGGAGGATTCGGCCATGGAGACCGAACAGAAAGAAGAGGCGCCCAGCAAATCCGAAGCGCCATCTCAGCTCGAATCCGGGCCTCCTGTTCGAAAACCGCGACCGAAGGCAGAGGACATGTTTGCGGATTCCGACACGGAGTGATGTACTGTTATGTAGAATTGACGATCATTGATGGGTCAAATTCATACTATTGTCGTAGACTTGGCAAATATTGTGTCTCATTGTTAGACAATTTCTGTTCGTAGCCCCAGGAAGGCAGCATTTAGCGGCGCAGAGCAGGCCGCAATAGTGTCCCATGTTCAGGCAGGAACATGTCCGCGGGCGATAAAAAGACGCGCTCCAAGCCTCACGGTTCAGGGCCCACACCTCTCCCCTCTCGGACTCAAATATCAACTTGGGATCCGTCTCTTCTTAGCCTCAACAAAGATCCCTTTCTTATTCCTCTCTTTGCTTTCGTCCGCTCTGAAGTAGAGTATATTCATCAAAATGGCCGGTAAGTCCCCATAACATTCCTGATTCATGTCATCCCTTTGTTGATGGCTATGTTTTTGCTTGATGTCTTGCTGCCCCTCCTCCTTATACCCCACCACAGCGGTTGAGGCCAGTCGCATGCACGACTACTATCCTTCACAAGGCATACATTAAGTAAATGTGAACTAATTTATTACAAATGCTTAGACTTCCAGAACATTGCTCGTACGTATTCCGTCGTTGGCTCCGGATTCACAAACACGGCCAGGAGATTCTGACCCCTCTCCTCTCAATCAACAGAGCAGTTCGTGCAATTTTACTACCAGACCTTCGACACCAACCGTCAGGCCTTGGCCAGTCTCTACGTATGGTTACCGCATCACCGTCGCCATTTGCGAAACTGAATTATCATGCGGAAACTGACCACGACGGACAAACTATAGCGTGACCACTCTATGCTTACCTTCGAAACCACCTCGGTCCAGGGTGTCAGCGGCATTGTCGAGAAGCTGACGGTTCGTTTTCCCCCGCTCGTGTGTTTCGGTGATACGGCAGAGGGTTAATCTTGCGACAGTCTCTTCCCTTCCAGAAGGTGCAGCACCAGATCGCGACCTTCGATGCTCAGCCTTCGAACACAGAGGGCGGCATCATGGTCATGGTCACCGGTGGCCTGCTGGTACGTTAGGCTTTTTCCATTGGTTCGTCGTTGTAGGGTGATGGTACTGATGTCGAATAGGTTGATGAGGAGCAGAAGCCCATGAGCTACTCTCAGACTTTCCAGCTTCTTCGTGAGGGTGAGAGCTACTATGTCTTCAACGACATGTTCCGACTCATCTACCCTGCGTAAAGGAATTGATGTGGAAGGATAGCGGGTTGGCCAGAAGGGCACTGGGTGAGACTTCTGGTGGCGGGAAGGAAATGGTCATATTACGATAATGAATACGAGAGAAGTTAAGGCACGTCTTCAAATGGATGCCACACATCGGCAGTCCAAATGTTGCATGCGCCCGAAAGCATTTATTCTATCGTTGGTTTCGTCAAATGAATATAGTTGATGAAACTTCTACTCTTCTATGTCAAACATGAGAATGGTTCGCTGATACAGTCTCTCCTTCGTGGTTTCGACAAAATGCAGTCCGAGCTGCTCAGCAGATTCGGGAGAAGTCTAGTATCTGAACTGGATACAGTCTAGGGGAAATCCAAAGCAAAACAAGTCGAAAGTTGCCTGTTCCTGATGCGAAAGCTCGGCCGATTCTGCGCTAAAAAGGTCACTGACCTTGGAGAAGTGGCGTCTCCTCAGACGGCTGCCCATGGTCTCTTCTCTCTGGGCATTCTCCAGTACCGTTTGGAGGAAGATCTTTGCCATGGCGATGGTTGCGCTGCTTGTTGGGCCCAAAATATTCGAAAAATATGGCCAGGACCAAGAGCGTGCCTTGTAAGCATGCCGTCACAATCAATACGCCCCATGTGCTCCACCCCTTTGGTCCCAGTCGTGCAGCTAAACTGCCTGCCCACACAAGACTTCCCGGAGTTTGGATACACATCATGGGGATGCTCAGACTACCCACACACCGCAGCTTCAAAGTAGTGTAGATTTGAGGGAAGTACTGGATCGAAGCGAGGATGGCAGCAACCACCCCTGAGAGGTTGGACCATGCCTGAAGCTGGGATGGCCGGTTGACTGCGACTGCGACAGAGGTGATGAACATCACTACGACGTGGAGGATACAAATACCGCTGACGACCAAGGCTGTCCTATATGTTGGGCCGTTTCTCGCCGAAGCTTCTGACTCCGTAGGCGAGGTTGGAGAGGTGGCTCGAGGGAAGTAAATGACGAATAGAAGCAGGCTGGAAACGATCCTCCATTAGCCACACGAACGCTATCGGACAGAGAGTATGTGAGCTTACATGGTAACAAAGCAGAGCCACTGTGTCCCGACCTGGAAGATGCCGAGTAGTCCCCCGAAGCAAGCTAGTCCATTGATGTTCTTGCAGCATTCCACA